CATTGTCCTTCACCATGTCATTGATTGTATTAAGCAGCTGTGTCACCTGGAACTGGTTGTTCCTGTATTCACCCTGCTGGTTGTTTTGCCAGTATTTGTTATCTACAACATGACATCGACCGCCGCACGTCTCCACCAGGTCTTTCAGATGCTTGTTATTGCTGATGAAATCCTTCATGTTCATGTTTTCTGACAGCTGGTCACCATGTGTGAAAACAACTGCAGAATAGTTAAAAACCTCTGCAGAAAAATACTCATGCATTTGTCTGATGACATCAGTTTCCTGCTCNGATTTCAGGTGGAGTTTTCTGAGGTTTTGTTGATGATTTGGTCTCTGAGAACTCGTTTATTGTTCTGTCCATCTGTAGGCCTATTGTCAGACTTCTTAACACCTATTGTCACATACAAAATGACATGTAGTGTTAGAGCAGGCTTCTGAAACCCGCCTTTGGGTTGTTCTTCACATTTTAACAACTATTACTATTCTTACAAAGAGATTCTATGGAGGTGTTTGGTCATCACTGACATTATTAACTCCTTCACCTACAGAAGAGGTCAGAAAGGGTGAAGCCTCCACCCTCCATCTCCATCTTTATTGATACTTTACTCTCTGGCCGATGATGTTTAATTTATCAACCAGCTACACTGCAGTTTCTTAAATTCTAACTAAACACACCCTCAAACATGAACAAAATGTGACTACATGCTGAAAAACTCTTGGCAGTTGTATGATTTGTACTTTGACTACAGCACACTCTTCGAATAGCAAAGTGAAATTCAACTGAAACTGCAGCCTCATTCCAGCAGAGAGAAGAACACATGCAGGACAGTCATCCATTCCTCCTCTCCACACGTGTCTTATTTGACTCCATATCACTGGTGAGTTAAGATTCTTTTCTGCTTCTATTTAACTGTCCACTCTGCTTACAGTGTATTGAGCTGACACGTCAAATTTTGGGGAAATGTCCTTAGAAAGATTGTGGACAGTTTATCAATATGAGAAGTAATAGGTTTTATTTATGTTCTCTCTCAGTTTTGTTTGTGCACCATGTAGATGTGGATAAGTGAATTTCTCATTCTTGAAAGATTCTTCAGATAACAAGGGAAACTCATTGTTCTTCTTTGAGGGCAGAGATGTTCTACTGAACAGAATTCCTGGCACATTTGGACTCAGTATTTCCTGTTCAGACAGACCTCAGCTCACCCAGTGCATTAACACGACGCCACTGGTAAAAGCTTGACCTGTATACAAACAGCGAGAAAAACGGAGCAAGAGGGCGAGGTGGAGTGATGAAACAGAAAGTGAAACCTGAAGCAGAAAAACAAGCACCAGTCTGGGATGTGGCATTGCAACACATTTCAACAACCACTAGGTGGAAGCACAGGCAAATGTTAAAGGAGGGAATTTGGCCACCTTTGCTGTATTTTCCCTTCCTCACTGGAAGTTTGGAAATCTGTTCTGTGGACATTCAGCAAAACAGCATCAATCAGTGCAACTAGAGCTCCTCAATGGTTTTGTTCAGTGATTGTACAGTCACTCATAATTGGGAGACATCTTTTATTCTCAAGCTGCTCCTCCAATCAATAGTCAGTTTATTGAAAAAAAGAACAACAGTTTGTCATTGTACTTTCACTGCAAACTATGGTGCACATCTCTGCCTATATGGAGAATGCAGGCTAGTCATGACTAGTTCAAGGACGGAACTAGATTTTATCATCCTTATTTATGTAGGTCTCCTGCAAAAGCTGCCTCATTCTAGAGTTTGTCAAATTTGAAGTCACTGCTCTCCAAACCAGATCTCAGGTCTGTTTACTTCTCTGGTAAACACTGAAAACTTCCACTGCTTCAATGGAAACTTACAGATGATTTAAAACTTGATTTCCACTAAAACCTGTCCCACTTTGGACACTTGAGGGCACCAGAGTCAAACTGGATGGAGTCATAAATGTACGACTTCCATTTTAGATGAGGGACTTGCCAACTCTTTTAAGCTTAAGCGTCTTCCGTACATAGTTCACAGCTCAAACACCAACCTCATACATTCATTTCTTTTTACGCATCTTAAATTTAAGCCCGGACATGTCAGTCACTGATGAAATTCAGAGGACATTTTATTCAAAACATTGGGCCTCCATTTGCCTATAGATGGAAAAGTTCTGATGCTAATATTGCATGTTTTTGATCATAAATAAGACAGTTGAGAAGAGTTCTTTATGATGGAATATATACAGAGCTAAAGGATGCAGAGCTGCATGAATTTCAAGCAGTAAGTTGAAGTGCTGTAGCTCAGGCAGCAGAAGTTGTTCATATTTCACATGTACACTGCAGACTGATGCCTTGATTGCATTTTGCATCTACATGTTTCATTTATTTCTTGTATCTTACGTATATTCTGATTACATTTATTGTCTTTCTGCAGAATATGTGACGAATGTCTCCAGAGTGTGTAACAAGCAGCTGACACAGGATCTCTCATTCAGTATTAGACTCCTCCTAACCCTTAGTGGATGACAAACTTGAGTGAGCTTGAGTGGCTTTGCAGAGTAGTGTAGCTGATGTAGAGTTTCTAATGAAAAAAAGACTATTTTGTCCTTTTCGCTGCATGTTTGTAAAATGCTGAAATTAGATCCANTGTGATGAAAAGCATGGCTATTAAAGAGTATGGAATGAATGTCTGTGTGTGTCCACCTGGTAAATACACTACAGTTGTCTTGTGAAATAACCATTTGTCACAGAGTGAACTTGGTGTAGGGGAGAGGGTGAGTGCCTGGGTGGCATGTGTGCCTGATTGTAACCCCACCCCTGGGATTAGGCATAAGTAGATGCTGGTGTGTGTGTTGAGGTACATGGTGGCAGGTCCTGAGCAGCAAGGAACGGCAGCAGACAGAGGGAGCGGCTCCTGGGTTGGTGGATGGCAGGCCAGGTGTGGGAAACACACACAGAAGGCGTCTGGCTGAACTGGAGACAGCAAAGAGTGGCCGGTGACTGGAAGCGCCGGGGGAGTGGTGGAGGGGGAGCGTGAGCCAACCCCCCTCCCTCAGCTAAGTGCCTTTTAATTGTGGTTGCTGGAGTGGTTGAAGCAGGGCCCGCTTGCATGGTTTTAAGTTTTTATTTTTTGCTGTGACGTGTGACTACAAGATAGCGGTGGCTCTCTCTTAACCAGCCCCTGTAGCATCCAGTGTCTTCACCAGCCACCGGTTTGTCAATCACATGGCCTGTCCCTTACGCAGGTTACCCCCATCCCCCCCAAGCGTTGGAGAAGAGGACCGACGGAGGAGGAGGAAGAGAGGAACCTCCATGGAAGCCGCACTGCAGGACTAGCATGTTACTGTCTGGCTTGACCAGGATTTTTTCTCTAGCCCTGGACTAGGAACATTTTAAATTGTCTTTTTTTTTTTTTTTAACAACTCCAGCCTATTAATAAACCTTATTATCCTTTCAGCATCACGTTGAATATTTATTTATATAGAGTGCTCCCCCTGGGACTCAGTGTGTCCGGGGCTTCCCGCCCCTATTACACATTCATTAGGTTTTTCAAGATAATTTCAGTGAAGGTGGACATCAAATGGACAAGCACTGGTTTAAGTGTCTTTGGCAGCATTAGAGGCCAAACACTCAAAATCCTCCTGGGATCCAATGACAGTGAGAACAGTAGAANTGTTTCAGCACATTTTATCATGTCCGATAGCAGAAACACTTCCTTTGTGTTGGAAGAGATTGGTACATGTTAGAAGACAGTATGTCAGAGTGACAAAAAAACTTACAGGGAATCAGTCAAAACACTGGTGGTGATTGAGCAATCAAAATGTATTTCATAAAAGCAAGATAAAGCAAAGAACTGTCATTAAAACATTCTTGATGATGAAATTGAACATTTGGATTAGTAAATCTGCATTTGTGAAGCAAAAACATCACAAGTGTTAAATGAAGTTTAAAAAGAGGAAAGAAAAACATCATCTTTCATTACAAGTCACAGAAAATCTACATCCAGTGTAATAACTGTTTTTTTTAAGGTTTTAATAATCCAAACTCAGTTACTTCTCATAACTCATGCATCTACTTTGTCCTTACATTGCTAAACATTTTACAATCCATGACTATATGATACACCTTGACTAAAGATACTGAAAGAAACATCTTACTGAGGGTTCTATAAAGACCTTATTACATCCACAAAATACTTTAATCAGGCAAAGAAGTGCTTTAATGTAGATTCTATTATTAATTTCATGAAGTACCATTTTTAAACTACTAATAAAATACAGTCATGATCAAACACCCCTATATAGGTTTAAAAGTCTGGTCCAACACTATATGTCATTTTCTATCTAAGAACAGGAGTTAAAGATCTCCTCCTCCTTGTTGCTTATGTCAGTGACTGACAATAAACCTACAGATGCACAGAGAACAATCAGCCTCTTCTAGGAGACCAAATCATCAACAACACCTCATAAAACTCCACCTGGCAGGAGGAGACAATTAATATATAATGTGTGTTGAGGTGAAATTCTCCTTCATGTACTCATGATTGGATAACAAGAACAAACATGACTAGAAAGAAGCTTCAGTCATGTAGACAAGGAAGGTAGAAAAATAGAAAATGCCAACATGATCTGATTAAACCACAAAATCCTTAAAGGATCCTAAAAACATCACCAAGGTGAACAGAGTCACCAGTAGAACACAGACATGCTGATAAATGGACAAAGGTCGTCAGTTTAAAGCCTCACAAACAGTTATTGATTTTGATCTTGATACTTATGTGTCGTCATGGCAGCAGAGCCCAACAATCCTCGAGATGGGGGTTTTGATCTGAGTGGTGCAAAGCTCAATTGCAATCTATTTTTTTTTTTTGGAATCAAGCAACGTTTCCATCTCGCTTTGCTGTTGCTTTGGGCTTTTTAGCTTGTCCACAACTTCTTTGATTGGCTTGATGATAGCCTTAGCTGTGTTCTTTGCTGCCTCCCCTGCTGAATCTGCTTCATCAGCTTCTTTATACCCTACATAACCTCCCACTGCTGCGCCTGCAGCAGCACCAACTCCTGCAACTACAGCTAATCCAACACCTACTGGCACTATCTTAAGATATGCGACAACTGCTGCAATCGCAAATGGTACACCCAGTAAAGCTCCCAACAACACTCCTGTGGTGATGCCAGCTGCCTTCTTGAGAAAATTTGAGACAATACACTTCGCCTGCTGCCACATATCTTCTTGTGACATGCCTGCTAATGACCAGCTAATGCGCTCTACCTGTTGTCGTATTGCTTTCTGCACTGATTGCAGCATCTCATTGATGTAGCGCCCTGTACTCTCCACCATTTGTTTTACTGTATCGAACAGCTTTGCTACCTGGACCTTGTTGTTTCTGTATTCATCCTGCTGGTTGTTATTCCAGTACTTATTATCAACAACGTGGTAGCGATTCCCACATTTCTTCAAGAGATCACACAGACACTTATTTCCATGGACAAACTCCTCAATCTTCATGTTGTCTGGAAGCTGATCACCGTGAGTGAAGACAACTACAGCGTGTTTGAAAGCTTCCTCAGAAAAATACTCTGTTATCTTGGAAACAACCTCATTCTCATGCTTTGTGAATCTCTCAACTTTAAATACAATGAGAAAAGCATCAAGCCCATCAGAGCACTCTATGATAGAATCTATCATCTCAGACTTCAGCTTATCATCAGACATACGATTGTCAAAGAAACCAGGAGTATCAATCACAGTGATTAATCCTCCATCAACTTGTCTGGTTTCTTTCTTACATTTACTTGATCCAGGGTTTGCACTATGATGTATATTAAACACAGCCTCTCCAAGTATTGTTTGGCCCAAGCTGCTTTTTCCAGCTCCAGTTTTCCCCAGCAGGGCCATCCTTATGTCTTGTGCTAGAAGAGAATAATGACATATATCATATATCAACAGTACTTTGTATACGCAGTTGTCAGAAATCACTATAAACAGGACCATCACTTCAGCTTGTCAGAAATAGTAGCTGTGACTGTGACTGTGGTTTGAATGTTTTCTGTGTCTACAAGTTCATGCAGTTTCTGAGCCACTGTTGTTGTGTATTCACCATATCATAATTGTGTGATGTTATGGGCACATAGCTTTTTGTACCAGTGTGAACACCAGAGACCGGGTTGCTGGGTTGCGCATGCGCACTGTTATTGTTGTGATGAAAAGCATGGCTATTAAAGAGTATGGAATGAATGTCTGTGTGTGTCCACCTGGTAAATACACTACAGTTGTCTTGTGAAATAACCATT